GTACAGAGGAGTGTGACGACGGGGACTGAACCTGCTAACACACTCACTCTCACGTGATGAGAGACGTTATATAACGAGGAGTGTGATGGCTGGGACTGAACCTGCTAACACACTCACTCTCATGTGATGAGAGACGTTATATACAGAGGAGTGTGACGGCTGGAACTGAACCTGCTAACACACTCACTCACACGTGATGAAAGACGTTATATACAGAGGAGTGTGACGGCTGGGACTGAACCTGCTAACACACTCACTCACACGTGATGAGAGACGTTATATACAGAGGAGTGTGACGGCGGGGACTGAACCTGCTAACATACTCACTCTCACGTGATGAGAGACGTTATATACAGAGGAGTGTGATGGCTGGGACTGAACCTGCTAACACACTCACTCTCACATAATGAGAGATGTTATATACAAAGGAGTGTGACGGCTGGGACTGAACCTGCTAACACACTCACTCTCACGTGATGAGAGACGTTATATACAGAGGAGTGTGACGGCTGGGACTGAACCTGTTAACACACTCACTCCCTGAACAAACTCACTCTCACGTGATGAGAGACGTTATATACAGACTAGTGTGACGACTGGGACTGAACCTGCTAACACACTCACTCTCATGTGATGAGAGACGTTATATACAGACGAGTGTGACGGCTGGGACTGAACCTGCTAACACACTCACTCACACGTGATGAAAGACGTTATATACAGAGGAGTGTGACGGCTGGGACTGAACCTGCTTACACACTCACTCACACGTGATGAGAGACGTTATATACAGAGGAGTGTCATGGCTGGGACTGAACCTGCTAACACACTCACTCCCATGTGGTGAGAGACGTTATATACTAAGGAGTGTGATGGCTGGGACTGAACCTGATAACACACTCACTCCCTGAACAAACTCACTCTCACGTGATGAGAGACGTTTTATAGAGAGGAGTGTGGCGGCTGGGACTGAACCTGCTAACACTCTCACTCCCATGTGGTGAGAGACGTTATATACAGAGGAGTGTGATGGCTGGGACTGAACCTGCTAACACACTCACTCCCATGTGGGTGAGAGACGTTTTATACAGAGGAGTGTGACGGCTGGGACTGAACCTGCTAACACACTCACTCTCACGTGATGAGAGACGTTATATACAGAGGAGTGTCATGGCTGGGACTGAACCTGCTAACACACTCACTCACACGTGATAAAAGACGTTATATACAGAGGAGTGTGACGGCTGGGACTGAACCTGCTAACACACTCACTCACACGTGATGAGAGACGTTATATACAGAGGAATGTGACGGCGGGGACTGAACCTGCTAACATACTCACTCCCATGTGGTGAGAGACGTTATATACTAAGGAGTGTGATGGCTGGGACTGAACCTGCTAACACACTCACTCCCATGTGGTGAGAGACGTTATATACAGAGGAGTGTGCTGTCTGGGACTGAACCTATTAACACACACACTCCCTGAACACACTCACTCTCACGTGATGAGAGACGTTATATACAGACTAGTGTGACGGCTGGGACTGAACCTGCTAACACGAGAGACGTTATATACAGAGGAGTGTGACGGCTGGGACTGAACCTGCTAACACACTCACTCACACGTGATGAAAGACGTTATATACAGAGGAGTGTGACGGCTGGGACTGAACCTGCTAACACACTCACTCACACGTGATGAGAGACGTTATATACAGAGGAGTGTGACGGCGGGGACTGAACCTGCTAACATACTCACTCTCACGTGATGAGAGACGTTATATACAGAGGAGTGTGATGGCTGGGACTGAACCTGCTAACACACTCACTCTCACATAATGAGAGATGTTATATACAAAGGAGTGTGACGGCTGGGACTGAACCTGCTAACACACTCACTCTCACGTGATGAGAGACGTTATATACAGAGGAGTGTGCTGGCTGGGACTGAACCTATTAACACACTCACTCCCTGAACACACTCACTCTCACGTGATGAGAGACGTTATATACAGACGAGTGTGACGGCTGGGACTGAACCTGCTAACACACTCACTCACACGTGATGAAAGACGTTATATACAGAGGAGTGTGACGGCTGGGACTGAACCTGCTTACACACTCACTCACACGTGATGAGAGACGTTATATACAGAGGAGTGTCATGGCTGGGACTGAACCTGCTAACACACTCACTCCCATGTGGTGAGAGACGTTATATACTAAGGAGTGTGATGGCTGGGACTGAACCTGATAACACACTCACTCCCTGAACAAACTCACTCTCACGTGATGAGAGACGTTTTATAGAGAGGAGTGTGGCGGCTGGGACTGAACCTGCTAACACTCTCACTCCCATGTGGTGAGAGACGTTATATACAGAGGAGTGTGATGGCTGGGACTGAACCTGCTAACACACTCACTCCCATGTGGGTGAGAGACGTTTTATACAGAGGAGTGTGACGGCTGGGACTGAACCTGCTAACACACTCACTCTCACGTGATGAGAGACGTTATATACAGAGGAGTGTCATGGCTGGGACTGAACCTGCTAACACACTCACTCCCATGTGGTGAGAGACGTTATATACTAAGGAGTGTGATGGCTGGGACTGAACCTGCTAACACACTCACTCACACGTGATAAAAGACGTTATATACAGAGGAGTGTGACGGCTGGGACTGAACCTGCTAACACACTCACTCACACGTGATGAGAGACGTTATATACAGAGGAATGTGACGGCGGGGACTGAACCTGCTAACATACTCACTCCCATGTGGTGAGAGACGTTATATACTAAGGAGTGTGATGGCTGGGACTGAACCTGCTAACACACTCACTCCCATGTGGTGAGAGACGTTATATACAGAGGAGTGTGCTGTCTGGGACTGAACCTATTAACACACACACTCCCTGAACACACTCACTCTCACGTGATGAGAGACGTTATATACAGACTAGTGTGACGGCTGGGACTGAACCTGCTAACACGAGAGACGTTATATACAGAGGAGTGTGACGGCTGGGACTGAACCTGCTAACACACTCACTCACACGTGATGAAAGACGTTATATACAGAGGAGTGTGACGGCTGGGACTGAACCTGCTAACACACTCACTCACACGTGATGAGAGACGTTATATACAGAGGAGTGTGACGGCGGGGACTGAACCTGCTAACATACTCACTCTCACGTGATGAGAGACGTTATATACAGAGGAGTGTGATGGCTGGGACTGAACCTGCTAACACACTCACTCTCACATAATGAGAGATGTTATATACAAAGGAGTGTGACGGCTGGGACTGAACCTGCTAACACACTCACTCTCACGTGATGAGAGACGTTATATACAGAGGAGTGTGCTGGCTGGGACTGAACCTATTAACACACTCACTCCCTGAACACACTCACTCTCACGTGATGAGAGACGTTATATACAGACTAGTGTGACGGCTGGGACTGAACCTGCTAACACGAGAGACGTTATATACAGAGGAGTGTGACGGCTGGGACTGAACCTGTTAACACACTCACTCCCTGAACACACTCATTCTCACGTGATGAGAGACGTTATATACAGACTAGTGTGACGGCTGGGACTGAACCTGCTAACACGAGAGACGTTATATACAGAGGAGTGTGACGGCTGGGACTGAACCATTTTTATCAAGCCCATGTAATAAGGAGATTTTTTCTATAGACATCTCGGCGATGTCTTGGATATTTAATGGGAATATTGAAATAGGACGATGACAATAGTTATCCGGATCCATTACTGAGCCTTTTTTAAGAAGTGGTTTCAGCTCAGCTTTTTTTAGCAGCTTTTTTTTATTGATAATGGGAATTATTGTGGATGTCATAAGCTGGGCTTGCACTGCTCATCAATGTTTGAGCATTGTAACGGACTTAGTTGCCATACTACAGCAAGTATAAGACCAAGAGGAAGGTGAGCAATAGTTAAATGGTACATTATCATAAAAAAACCTACACAACAACCAAAAAGAAGACGGAATACTCAGAAAAAGATTACTTCAACGTCCTCTACAGAACAAATTAACCAAAAATATTTTTTGACGTAGGCCTATGTTGAATCATTCTATGAGACACTGATGAATAAAAAAAAAAATAACTATTCATTAATATGTAATGGATCCAATATAATACGCTAAATGCAACACCAAAGTCTAATGTAATCTCTCGATATGTTAGTTAAAACCTCTTCACTAGATAATTTATATTGCATAACAACCTCATTCCATGCCTTTACTCTGGGTCGATCACATCACTTGCGGCTGTTAGGCGGCATGGAGCGTCGGTGCCAGCGCTACCGAGGCTCAGTCTCCTGTCTCGTTGGGCCGTTCCCCTGCCCACGGTAATATCGTAATCCTATACTTATGTATATGAATATGTTCAGTAAGACATGCTCTACAACTTGTAGAGGAAGTCATAATTTCTTAACCATTAATCATAATGAATTAATTAACAACATTTTGGGGTGAGTACATGAATTCACGGTTTGAATCACCTGATTCGACATAGAGGAAGTCTTTTTAATAAACAAAACAAAAAAAAAACAAAAAAACTACCGCAGAAAAGCTTAAATATTGGGGTAAAACTTTGCTTAATATCATAATTCATCATAGAATTGTGAAGAAAGTATTGGAGTTATCACTAAAGTGTAATGAAACTTTATTTTAGAAAATTAAAAAAGAATTTTAGAAAGTTAAAAATTATTGTAATAGAATAAACCATATCGGATATAAGCTTGATTTAGTAAAACCTTGCAATTCCCAACTTAAAGGGGGGGAGGGGGATTTTAGGAATTTTGGTCAAATGTAGGCCTACATCTTTTTCTGTACTATCCAATGGTAGGATAGTTTTGCCTGTCTTTAATTTGCTCCGACACATTTGACAACAACGAACACAATTGACTGAATTATCGTGCAGCTTTCCCACAATGGGTAATAGTTTTAATTCATAAACTTACTGTCATCATCTTTCCAGATATTTTTCTTAAACTCTCCTCGTTTTGGAACATTTTTCTTAATGGCTTCTGTGATTTTTCTTGATTGCTTTGCAATTACATCCTTCTTCTTTACAAACCCATTCTTCTTTTTGGTTTCCTCAATCGATTTTCGTATGGTACATTTTCTTTCTTCTTGAGTCCTTACACGGTTTCTAGAACCCAAAATAAAAACTTTTTTAGCTGCAAAAAATTTTTGCAACAGATGTTGCCACAGACACAGACACACAAAACACAATTGCTGTTTTACTTAACTAGAAGCTATTGCAATTTTGGCTGCATAATGTTTAACAATTAAACATGCTTTGTTAACTTTCCAAGCAACAATTTGGAATACTTGATATAAAGTTGCAAATAGATTTATGAAGACTATTTGGATTAATGCTATCAAGCAAAGATTGCTCTTTAGTACAGGTAAAACTCGTCATGATTTTACCACGCTAGTTGTTCCATTTAAAGTATGTCCATTTGAAGTAATCAACTAGCTGCTGTCTATTGGAAAGGTAGAAACCAAACCAGGCGAGTGCTGAACCACCCACCTATACCAAAAGCTCAAAGTTTTTCTATGATGCGTTGATGGTCCAGGCAATCAAACGCCTTGCTGAGATCCAGGAAGGCTGCACAGACAGTATTTCCATATTAGTTGTCAAGGATGCGTTCGATTATATCTGTCACAGCGGTGACAGTGGATCTCCCAGGAACAAAACCATGTTGTCCCTTGGGCAGAAAGCTGTTCTGGTGTAGATGCTTCTAGAGACAAGCCAAAATAGCTCCCTCCAGCATCTTTGAAAAGGTGGGGATGAAGGAAATTGGTCTATAGTTGCCCACTTCATTAGTTTTCCCTTTCTTATGAAGAGGATAGACCTTTGCAATTTTCATGGTGCAAGGAAAGGTTGGCCGAGACAAAGACTTATTGACAATATCGGTCAATGGTAAACAGAGCTCGTCTTCACAAAACATCAACATCCCGGATCAAATATCGTCCACTCCAGTTAATGAGGTTGGCCTTAGAGTTCTCATTACGTTTTGAATCTCACCATTAGTTGCTGGATTAAACAAGACCAGTGGCGGATCCAGGATAAGCCAAAGGGGTGGGGTGGCTATGTGTTGGGAGGGGGGGGGGTGAAAGAGCACCAGGGGGTACGGGGGTTCTCCTTCAGAAAATTTTCAAAATTCAAGTGTAAAATGACACATTTTTAGGCTGTTTTTAACTCTTAATTATCCAGAGTTTAGAGGCAAAAACTATGGTTTGACTCAAGAATATTGACTATAAAAAAGAATTTTGAAGTCATTATACCTAATGGTTTTGCATTAACATATCATATCTGACCCTCTGACCATAAGAATTTGAACGTTGAAAGCTATTACCTTTTTATTTCAAGTACGGAATTACTTCTAGTACTGATATTACTATTTTTCAAATGATTCAGTTTTTAAAATAAAACTGCATGTAGGCTACATTTTTAGTTATTCTATCTTATAATAGGTTTCAATAATGCATTAATGCATTACTTATTATAAAAGGTCTAAAGAAGAAGTATTTTATAAGTTTTAGCTGGTTTACTCTTATCCTGAATTCAAAAGATAACAGTTCAAAACAAAGAAATAAGTTCAAAGGACAGTGTTTGGTAATAATGTAAAAAACGTATTCAAAAGAAACTTGAATGTTACAACTTTTTTTAGTAGTACGATGCTATGAATAAGTTATTTGATGGTGCAATTTGACAAACACATTTGTCTTGGTTTTGACAGACCAAAATTTTTTTTTTTTGTCCCAGGACGCTAGACACGAGCCGGAGATTGTTTTTAACATCACTTCAGGCTAGACCTAGGGGTTGCGGCATTATCACTTAGGTAAAATCTATTGGTGATTTGGTGGGATTTGAACCAGGGACCTCAGGAACCGAAGTCCCACGCTCTAACCACTACACCAGCTCACTCCCCAACTAAAATTATGTAAGACTTTATCTACATCAATTTCCCTTTCCTTATGAATACCAATAATCCTTTACTTATGGATAGCCAGTGCAATCCAGTGAATGGCCTTCGCCTCTCATGTTCGGCAAATAGAACAAAACAAATTACCTATTTTATCTAGTGTAAATTTGATACCCAAGGGGGGGGGCAATAGCCCCTCTCTGGACCCGCCACTGAAAAAGACCAACCCAAGATCAAATCAAATTAATCTTTATTCATTTTTATATACAATATGTATACATAAATGGTGTCAATATAAAACTATTACTAAACTTAATGACTAACATGGTGTTGCTTAGCTTTTATATGGAATTCATTAAAACTATCAAATGCACCTTCAATTAGAAAATATTTTAAAACATTTTAAAAATTGCCAGAGGTTATTCGATTTTTAATTGAAATTGGTAGGCTGTTTCTTTTTTTAAAACTCTTTGTTATGTTTTTAATTTGAAAATCGTTTTTATGGTTTCTATATATATATGTAGAATTCTTCTTTAATGAATAATTTGCCTTTGTTTGGTTCAAATTCAATTACTGGTAAATTATTTTCTATATTTTTGATATTTATGATTAGTTTTTAGTAAGTGTTCTGCGTAGTTTGATTTCATACTTGTGGAATTTTTAGATTTAAATGTCTGTATATGTTCTTGGAATCTACATTTGAAGTTTCTTCTGGTTTGGCCAATATAATACTTGTTACATTCTGTACAGGAAATTTTGTAAATGCTGCTCTTGTTAAATTTTGATGATTCTTCAGTTATTTGTTGATGTTTGGAAACTTTTGAATTTATAATCTTAAAGACGTTGTTTTTGTTCTATATGTTGCTTTGTAATTAATTGAAATGTTTTAATATACCAATTTTTACAATAATTTAAAAAATAAAATATTGAAGAAAGGTAGGTCTGCGGGTGAGGAACCAATGATGCTGGCGACATTTCCTTTTTGTATGGCCATGGCAATTCGTTGAACTAGGTAGCTCCTCGCTTTATAGTCCCCTGTTTTTTTAAATTAGCTTGGGACCTATTTCATTTACCCAGTTCTTGCCTTCCTTGCACCATGGCCCAGCTGTTTCCACACCCAGGACGATTAACTGGTATCCTTTTGACGTAATATTTGAGTATTTCGTATGTTTTCTCTGGGTGGCCATTTCAGCTGCTGCTCCGGTTTGCATCTGGCCGCTTCCCATCGTTTCGGTCAAGACCTGAGGGTTCCAGTTGGGCTGGGATGTCGGCACACACCAAAGCTTTTTTTATCAGATTGTTAACCTCAGCGTGTCGGAAAAATCTTCTAGAACTTTTGATACAGGATAACGGGTGTAAACCTCTCTTGTCTACGATTTCACCACAGACACACTGAAATTCTCGGCAGAAATTACAACCTAATCTAAGTCCAATACTAATTTGGAAGCTTTTGTTATCCATAAACATACCATGTTTTTTTATGGAAAGGCATGTAACCATGCTCCAGACTCTTTTTCTTTGATGGCATTCATTCTTGCTAAATCTTGAACGTTATCGAATTTTAAATTTTCTTCTTTCTTCTTCATTACTATGTTGTCCCATTTATGCTGTAAGATTGGGCTTGAAGGCAGTTCATTGTAATTTTTTTTTAACTCTTCGATTCCATTACTACAGAAAGATAACGCCAATTTGTCAACTGGTATATATCAAGTATGTTGGAGACGAGTGGTGTTACTCCTGCACATGATGAAAGAAAAGTGGGCAAACTCAAATCAATGAGACTTCGTATACCAATGCCACCACGGCTTATGGGGAGACTTGCTTGTTCCATTTGCTTGGGTGTAATATTTAGGTTTAAAATATCCTTCAGGGATGAAATGAACTCGCGTGAAGCTGGCCCCACCATAATGAGCACAAATTATAAAAACATATCCATAATTTAGTGCCTAATTTGTGCTGCTCAAAGGTGTATATATAAAAATTTGTGCTCAACAATAACACAAAAAAAATAAAAAAAAAACCTGTTGGTGGGGCTAACTTCACGTTCAGCCCGCCACTAAAGGATATAACTATGTATTGTACATAGAAATTTAGTGCTCATTTTGTGCTACAACAATATATTAGATTTATAATTTGTGCTCTAAAAACACCCGAGTAAATGAGGAAAAACTGCCACCGGTGACGACGTCATCCACCCCGCCACATTGAGCAAATCAGTTGAAAATGGTGACACGATTTAGTGCTCATTTTGTGCCACAACAATATGTAGTTTTTAAAATTTTTGCTATAAATCCACCTGAGAATAAATGCGGAAAACTGCCGCCGTTGATGACATCATCCGCCCCACCACATTGAGCAAACCTGTTGAAAATGGTGTCACGATTTAGTGCTCATTTTGTGCCACAACAATATGTAGTTTTTAAAATTTTTGCTATAAATCCACCTGAGAATAAATGCGGAAAACTGCCGCCGTTGATGACGTCATCCGCCCCACCACATTGAGCAAACCTGTTGAAAATGGTGTCACGATTTAGTGCTCATTTTGTGCCACAACAATATACAATTTGTATAATTTGTGCTCTAAAACACCTGAGTAAATGGCGAAAAACTGCCGCCGGTGATGACGTCATCCGCCCCACCACATTGAGCAAACCAGTTGAATATGGTGTCACAATTTAGTGCTCATTTTGTGCTACAACAATATATAGTTATTAAAATTTGTGCCCTAAAACCAACTGAGTAAATGTGGTAAAACTGCCGCCAGTCATGACGTCATCCGCCCCACCACATTGAGCAAACCGGTTGAAAATGGTGTCACTATTTAGTGCCCATTTTGTGCTACAATCATTTCTAGTTTTTTCCAATTCTGAAGGGGGGGGGGTTGAATTTAGTATACCTTTCGTAGGCTTTCCTTGAACTTGACTATAACAGAAGACTAATAACTGTTAAAGATTTCAAGTATTCACAACGATGAAAGACAGTGGCTCAAAAACTTTTGGGTGGTCCAATTATTAGTTGAGTGGGGGCTACATATTTTAAAATGCCTCTAATATATGGGGGTTTAGTTCTTCAGTCTAGCCATCCTGCCAGATGCCAAGTATCTAGCACGTCTATGAATGAGTGACAGTTAGTGCTGTCGTTTTGTCATTCATGATCGGGATATGATTCATGTTCTCAAACCTAGTAAAAAACGTATCTAGTTTGGAGTTGTTCATTATGAACAAATCATGATCGAAATGAGATTACTTGTACTCATCGTAGTCTTTTGAGTTTTTCTCAAAAATACGCCAGTCCCAGTGTCTAAGTCATCCAGTACCTATAGGCCTCGATCTTGTGGTGTACATAGTTTTTTTGTGTGATCTGCAACGTGACTGGCAATGAAGTTGCATGATGTCATTTACTCATTTACATCATTTACTCAGGTGTTTTTAGAGCACAAATTATACAAATTGTATATTGTTGTGGCACAAAATGAGCACTAAATCGTGACACCATTTTCAACTGATTTGCTCAATGTGGCGGGGCGGATGACGTCATCACCGGCGGCAGTTTTTCCTCATTTACTCGGGTGTTTTTAGATCACAAATTATAAATCTAATATATTGTTGTAGCACAAAATGAGCACTAAATTTCTATGTACAATACATGGTTATATCCTTTAGTGGCGGGCTGAACGTGAAGTTAGCCCCACCAACAGTTTTTTATTTTTTTATTTTGTGTGTTATTGTTGAGCATAAATTTTTTTATATACACCTTTGAGCAGCACAAATTAGGCACTAAATTATGGATATGTTTTTATAATTTGTGCTCAGTTTGGTGGGGCCAGCTTCACGCGAGTATGAAATGGTCGTATTGTCCAGAGTACTTAAAGCTTGTTGAAATAGAAACGTTGGTACACTTCTAAGTGTGTAAAGCATATTAGGTATACCAAGGCAATTAAAAAAAAAAAATAGGCAATGTGTTTCGGTAGTGATTTAAGCCTTTCGACCATGATCTTTAAAGATTCTAAATGTTTGTTCAATGGATTTTGAAATCCTTCAAAACACAAAGGAGAACCTAAAAGATATAATTCTGAGGAATTTACTGTTTGAATGTCTGGAAGAACAGTTCTGAAATGTGTTTCTATGTTAGGGTCAATGATGTTTGATGTGAAAAATAACTCACACTTTTTAGGATTAATTGTTAACCCTATTTTTCTTGATTCACTTATCAGTATGTTGATGTCCTTCCATACAGTTTCCGGATCACCAGCCAATGTACCATCGTCTAAATAAAACAATTTTAGTTTCGATTTGAGTTTGAGCAAAATTGGATGAATGGCTAGACTATAGGTGAGTGAGCTTGTTGGATCGCCTTGTTGACAACCAACACGTGATTCAATAATTTTGTTTCAAAAAAATAATGTAGATGATGAACTGTAACATTGCCAAAAAAATGGGTATAGTTCGGGAACATTTTCTTTAATCTCTTTTAGTAAAATGTCTCTTTCAACAGAATTGAACGCGTTTTTATAGTCAATTTTAACCAAAACCTTGTTGGACTCTTTTTCATACTCAAGAAATGTTTGTGTTGCATGAATAATGGTCTCACAACCTTGCTTAGTTGCAAAACTTTATTGATAAGGTTGAAAATAGTTTTTACACTTTTCTTGAACAGCTTGACAACATATTTTAGCTATAAGTCTTCTAAATACACATCCAACAGCAATTGGTCTTAATCCACCATCTTTCTTATTCAACGCACAAAGATTAGCACCATAAATATATTTTAAAATTAATTAAATTAATTATATATAATTAGATCTGTAATTTGTTTTAGATAAGGTTTATCTTGTTGCTTTTAGAGTTTTGAGGAAGTCATGTATTCTTTTTTCAATTTTTCTTCTTTTTTCTTTTGTTTCTTAATTTTGTTCTTTATCATATTTATCCATTTTTGGCTGCAATATTTTTTATTATCTTCGTTTCTTTTTCAAAATTTGTTTTGTTTAGTGGCAATGTAATTAGTCTGTAAATCATAGAATGAAATGCTGCTATTTTTTGTTGCCAAGGGTGGTAAGATGATTTTGGTACTACAAATTTAGTAGTAGTTGTTTTTCTAAATAATCAAATAGTGTTTTTTGTCAATTTTTGAGATTGTTAGTCCAGATAATTGATTTTTCTTGTTGGGCATCTTTGGTAAACTTTATATTTTTAGATATAGAATTTATGTATGTTAGAAGTGTGTCACTCTCAGTTTCGGATACTTCAAATAAGCAAATAACATCATCAACGTACCTGTGCCAATATATGATCTTATTTTTCACGGGGTTTGAATTGTTTTAATTTGGTTTGTTTCTAAATAATTCATAAATAATTCTGCTAATAAACATAAAATAAAGGGGGCTACCCTTAGCAAGACCATCATTTTGTTTGTAATATTTGTTATTGTATTCTAAATCATTTTGTTCCAGAGCAATATTTGTGAGATTGATGATGTCTTTTATTTCATTTTGTTTAAGAGATTTGTTTCTTAGTAACTCTTCTTTTATGATATTAATTGTTTCTTAGATTGGGATATTTGAATACATGTTTACAATATCAAAGGAAATAAATATTGAATTTTGTGGAATTTGTATGTTTTTTATCTTGTTTACCAATTCATGTGAGGTTTTGATTCCATAGTTGTGTTTTAAATTTATGTTATTTTTTATAATAACTTTTTTTATTTTTTTATAATTACCGATCAAGAACGGCCGCACTCAACGTGTTAAAAAGGATGGAGGCCTCTAATATTAATAAGTGGGCCTACATTTTAAGTGAGTAGTTAAGTATTAAATTTAACTCAGTGTTAAAACAGTAACAATCTATAAAGAGTTGCAGTCCAGAGTGAGGCAGAACCAGGGGTGAACCAGTCAATAGTCCAACCAACTAATAGTCTTATCCCTTGAGTCCATTGTGCGTGCTTGGAGCTGCTAGGGCCAGTCAGTCATACTTCTAACTCCACTATATCTGAGAAATATTTTTTTATTGAAGAAAATATACAAATCTGATGGTTTGAATGGGTGTATTTTAATTTACTGATCATTTTGATACCAACCACATAATGGCTAGCTCAATTAATTGATTTGAATTTTTGATTGTGGTTCCGATTATACAGGATGTAGAGGTTTTAACGTATTATCACCTACCTTTTCTTGATTGGGTCGGGTACTTGAGTCCAAGGTTGAAGGATATCCAAACATCGAGGTGGAAGTGCAGCCTTAGCTTTCTTGCTTATTGGATGCTTAGTTAGTTCCGAATCAGCACTCTTGTCAACAGTAAAAATGACACTATCATCTCTTTCATTGAACGAGCCTCTGTGACAAATAGTTGCATTAAACAAATAGAAATTCTTATTTCTTAGAGTTACGGTACTCAAAGCAGTGGTACAGTAGGCTCTAAGTCTATCCTAATTTTTTAAATGCTCTCTAATAGTGATGGTCGGATCCGGATATCGGACAACCGGATCCGCCGGATCCCAGCTAAAACCAGCACGGGATCGGATCCAAAAAATTCCGGATCTTGGGTTGGATCAGGTTTTGATGGATCCCATTTTTTCCCGATTTTTAGCTAACATAAAGCTGTCTGTATCCATGTACAAGACCAGTTTTTCCCCGATTTTTTACTAACACAAAGCTGTCTGTATCCATGTACGCTCATCCGGACTAAAGTGGCGGACGTCCAGTCCGGATTACAAAGAATCTGGACTATCGCGAGTCGAGCAAATACACAGTACTGTATATTGCCGTTTTTTCAATTATGTTCCAGGTTCACAGTAATGGATAGCCGGCATATGCACTTCAACCGGTAATAATTTGTACCGCCGAATTTTGTTCCAGGTCCACAGTAATGGATAGCCGGGCATATGCACTTCAACCGAAATAATTTTTATTGCCGAATTTAGTTCCAGGTCCACAGTAATGATAGCTGGGCAAATGCACTTCCACTGGTAATAATGTTTACTGCCGAATTTAGTTCCAGATCCACAGTAATGATAGCCGGGCATATGCGCTTCAACCGGTAATAATTTTTACCGCCGAATTTTGTTCCAGGTCCACAGTAATGGATAGCCCGGGCATATGCACTTCAACCGGTAATAATTTTTACCGTTGAATCAGGGTGTCTACAAAAGATTTGTCATTAATTTCCATGACTTTCCATGACTATATCCATGACCATTTACCATTGATTTCCATGACTCACAAACTTTACACGCAAATTATAATATAACATAGCCTACAGACACAAATAATACTGCCTGGACATGTTATTTTGCAGAAAATACTGAAATATGTAATAACAGACAACAATTGAGTACAATAGGTACAAAAATGAACTAAAACAAACCGAAAACTCATAAAATAATACAACTGTAATAAATTGAATTGTCGAAAATTTGTGAAAAATCCTGAAAAATGCTACAACAGTCCGGGTTACAGCTGACTAGAGCATTGAATGGTCCCCTCAAATCCATCCATAATTGGAAATTTCCATGACTTTCCATGACTTCTTGCCTATTTCCCTGACTTTCAATGACCAAAATTTTTTTCCATGACTATCCCTGACTTTCCAGAATGTGGACACCCTGGTTGAATTTAGTTCTAGGTCCACAGTAATGATAGCTGGGCATATGCACATCCACGGGTAATATTTTGTACCGCCAAATTTAGTTCCAGGTCCACAGTAATGATAGCAGGGCATATGCACTTCAACCGGTAATAATTTTTACCGCCAAATTTTGTTCCAGGTCCACAGTAATGGATAGCCCGGGCATATGCACTTCCACCGGTAATAATGTTTACCGCTGAATTTTGTTCCAGGTCCACAGTAATGATAGCCCGGGCATATGCACTTCAACCGTTGATAAAATTTTTACTGCTGAATTTAGTTCCAGGTCCACAGTAATGATAGCTCGGCATATGCAATTCAACCGGTAATAATGTTTACGGCCGAATTTAGTTCCAAGTCCACAGTAATGATAGCCGGGCATATGCACTTCCACCGGTAATAATTTTTACCGCTGAATGTTGTTTCAGGTCCACAGTAATGATAGGCGGGCATATGCATCTTCCACCTGTAATAATCTTTACCACCGAATTTAGTTCCAGATCCACAGTAATGAAAGCTGAGCAAATGCACTTCCACCGGTAATAATGTTTACCAAACCGGTAATAATAACCGGTAGTAATGTTTACACCGGTAATAATTTTTACCACCGTGTTATCCGGTTAATCGGTCTTGTACATAGATACAGACAGATTTGTGTTGTAATAAAATCGGGAAAACATCGGTCTCGTATGCCTGGATCACCCCTTGCTTGCCTCTCTTTGTTATTCGTTCCAGGTCCACAGTACTGATAGCCGGGTATGTGAAACTCTACAGGTAAAATACCCTGTGTCTGTGTACAAGAAGATTATCTGTGTCCATACAGGGTGAAAAAAAGTCAAGACTCCCCCATCTAATATTTTTGTAAGTTAGAACACAGTACAGTCTTCTTGTACACAGGCACAGGGTATTTTACCTGTAGAACTTCACATACCCGTCTATCAGTACTGTGGACCTGGAACGAATTTAAGGAAGAGATTAACAAGAGGTGATTCAGGCATAAATAAATTGGATGTTGCATGCAAAAACCACGATATAGCATACTCAAGATCGAACTATTGTACAATATACACAGATACCCTTTTGGTGGTCGTGCAAACTTAGGACAAAGTTTCATTTTATGATTTTGAAAAGTTTTAGTGTCCCCAGAAAATGAGGGATTATGGGCTCAATTGGAGATTACTCCATATATAAGATGTATTAATCTTTAAACATTACCAATTTAATTTTAAACAGTATGATTTAAATTGATATTCTGTTAATTACGTTTTTTTTTAACCCGCCCTTATGACAGTTTGTATGTGGATCTGGAATTTTTCAAGATCCGGAACCAGATCCGGTACCGACATTTTCTTGGATCCGCCCATCACTACTCTCTAAGACTATAAGGAGCATACCTGATTAGATGTTACAACAGGAGCACTGCCTAGGTCAAGTTAACAAAACAAATATTTTCATGTATGTCCAATGTAAATCGGCCGACTTAAAGAACTGTAACTTCGTACATTAGATTTACAATTAATAAATGATACGTCTGTATTAATAGTGCATTATTTAACGAATTATAATATGAATGTATTCTGCTGTAAGGCTCCGGCATTATAGTGGACTGCAGTATCAAATTTAATTTATCATTATCTACTTATATTACGTAGCCTACAAAGCATATAATAAATAGTGTCAGCTAATAAATAATATATGTATACAAATACATAACCTAAACAAAAAATTAATAAAATAGAACTAAATCTATAGCTGTATACATTTATAAACAATTCATCTAGGCCTATAGTGTAGATGATGGTCTAAATTGGCTTTTCTACCAAAAATTCTTTGAGTTTTTATCCAAACCATTTTGATTTTATATATAATTAATCTAGATAATATTAATACGCTACATGAAACTTTGTCAACAATAAAGGCTTTTTTGTTTTAAGATCTAACCCCACATATTATATACCAAAATGTTCGTCTAGGTGTGTAGATTTGCAAACTAACCTTACATTTTTTTTAAGTCCCTTGGGCTCTGTCCCAGTGGCTTTTAAAGTTCCCATGTTATCCTTATTAAGAACATATTTGTTCACATTATGATCAGGTGGATAATTTAACCCTAGCAGTGGCCAACGAGCGTAATACGCTCGTTCGCCGTGACGCCTAGAATGGCCACCAGCGTTACACGCTAAGTATGGGCCGGATTTTTTTTAACAGCGAAAAAACCGCTTTTAATCAACTCTGATGTGAACAACATGTATACCATTCGAAAGATCACATTCTGAACTTTCATTTTATTATATAAACAAACCCTGTAGCAGGTATATAATGATGTCACGACAATTAGAAATCAAATGAATTTTTGGCGCGCACGACTTTTACAGCTGACACTTGAGAACTGTCAAAACACGACTTGTTTGGCATTACCCTGCTCAATAATTTTCATCTTGGGTTGTTGCAGGAGGTACCACTGGATAGCCATTGATTTTATCTTCATTGTGGTATTGATATTTAGAACGAAATATTGATTGCACAATAGGTACGATTTTATGAAAACAGCTGTTTTCAAAATTTATAACAAATGGCCAACCAGTGTAATACGCTAGTACAGAAAATACAAATTACATACAGTGTGAGGGGTGCACAGAAGGAGCCTCCCCAAAAATGACCATTACACGCTAAGAACGACATCACAATTGGGCGCACCCCGGGCAACGCTGACATCTCAGCGGCAAATCCTTCTACAACCGGAAGACTTCGAAAAATGAATCTGCCTAAACGGTCTTTTTCAAGGCCATTAGTAACAATCTTGATTAATATCGAGGGAATATCGAGAGACAAGGAAATATTACTGTCTGATATGATATGAGGTTGGCAGCACTGAGTGCCTTATGAAGGTTTACCTGTTGGAAGTGCTCTCGGTTTTTAAAGGTTTAATAAGTTTATATGCAATTTCTTAGCCTGAAACGATTTCTAATACGTTTTAGTGTTTCTTACTGAAGAGGAGGATACTTCAAATCCAGCGTATCGGTAATATTTAGTTATCAAGATTGACATTAGCGTTGCTGTTCCACCGTACTTGCCATTATCAATGTTTACCCCAACTAGTGCCGACCAGTTCAGTTTGTGGTCGTAAGCTGTGCGTGACGTGGTTGTGCATATTTGTGCGTCATTGGTGTGTGAAAAGTACTTTATGGCACATAGTATTAAAGAGTATTTTACTCCTAAGGTGCAGAAAAAGCGAGCTCGAGTGTTTTCGCCGGACAGTGTAAAGGACTACGACGACGACAACATGGCGGACAAGGTAGGCGACATGACGTATGCAGATCTAACGCAAGTAATCAGTAATGTTATTGGAGGCTTATTGGACAATAAACTAGCCCCTCTGGCAACAAAAAGTGATATTCTAGGACTTAATGAGGAAATTACTCGGTTGAAAGAGGAGAACGTCAAAATTAATAACGAGTTAATTGCCGTTAGAGCTCGCGAAGCTGACATAATAGATAAGTTGGACGATTTAGAATGTAGATCCCGGCAAAACAATCTAATTTTCAAGGGTCTAAGGTGTAAGCGAGGTGAGGACTGTAAATCGGTTATAAGGAACTTTTGTGTCAACAGACTACAATGTAATGATAACCTGTGGATTAATCGTGCACATCCCCTAGGGGCAACTGGACTACTAATAGCACACTTTCCTGATGATGCGGATGTTAACTGGATTATGAGCAACACTAGAAACCTGGTAGGAACTGGATACTTTGTGAATAGAGACTATAGTAAAGAAGTTAGAACAAAAAGAAGCTACCTGATGGCGGTTAGGAAAGAGTTAGAGACATCTAGGACGTAGATCAATAAAGCTAGTGTTTGATCATTTGGTAATAGCAGATGTTAAATTTACTTGGTCCGGAGGGAAGCTGCGTGCAGGGGGTGAGGACGGTTGTACGAAGGTCAAGGAACTATTGGGTGTGGACATCAGTGTGTTCGTCGACAGATTAATGACCAATGGTGTGAAGAAGGCACAGTCAGACACACCACCTCTACCAAGAGATGCTGGTCCAGGGACAACACCACAGCTACAGGACGTCGGGGGTCCAGGGACAACACCACAGCTACAGGACGTCGGAAACGGGGACCCAGGGGCAAATTCATCAGGGAACAGTGACCAAGGGGGCCAAGTGAGGAGTCGGCGGCAGCACCAATCAGTGGGTGAATAAAACTCTAAATAGTGGTGAATTTATTAAGATAATAGCGTTTAATGTTAGAGGATTAAAAGAGAAAATATTAGATTTTAAGTTAATTAATTATTTGTCAGAGTTTGATATTGTTTTTCTTTCAGAAACATTTATTGTTGAAACAGATTTTGCATTGGTAAATCAATACTTTTCTAATTTTGAGATACATTTAATAGCAGCAGTAAAGGAAAATAGGTTAGGTAGGCCAAGAGGAGGGACTCTTATAGGTTTTAACTAGGGATGGTCAAGTCTCGAAATTTCGGGAAATTTTCGGGAAATTTTAAATCTCGTTACACGAGACGAGATTTCTTTTTGGCCGAGATTTTTATCAAGACAAGAATTAAAAAAAAAAAAAAAAAAAAAAAAAAAAAAAAAAAAAAATTAAAAACGCCCTTCAAATGTAAATATTACTTTAATTATTTTAATTAAATTTGAGAAGTTTTGTTAAGTGTTAGCAGTGTGAGGAATGTTTTATTACTATAAAAAAAGTCTAAACAAGTAACTATTTTATAAAAATTAATATTTTATTTTATGATTTATTTTATTTTAGGATAAGTTGAACTCTATCCTAACTGATATCACTATGTTTCCTAATCGTAGGCATTTTTAATAATTTAGGCGTGATTAATAAAAAAATGTTATGCTGATGTTTTTTAATAAAAGATTGTAAATATTCTTGCCTATTATCATTATTTTTGTATTTAAACAGTCATCTAACAATGTTACAAAATCAGGTAAAAATTCCGAACGTGCATTTCCCGTTGTGTATGAGAAGGGAAATCCCGTCTCGATCTCGTCTCGAAATTTTATGAGAAATAAAAAATCTCGTCTCGTCTCGTCTCGAACTAAAAATCCAATCTCGTCCATCCCTAGTTTTAACTTATGTTCAAAAATAAAGGACTCTTTTATTTTTTCTAATGTAGAACTGCCAATAGTTTCTGTTAAAACAGGGGGTTTAAATGTTGAAATAATTCCAGGTTATCTTAATTTTAGTTATTGGGAGAGAGATTTTAATAAGTTAACAAATTATGTAAATGAGCACAGTGATAAAAAGATCATAGTCATAGGGGATTGTAATGCAAGAATATCTGAGGAACAAGTCATTAACTATAATTTATTGTATGAGAATCTTTCAATTATTAATACTAGATGTTCAAAAGATAAGGTTTTGAATGATAGAGGCAAGAAAGTGCTAGAGTTTTGTGATAATTATAACTTAATTGTTTTAAATGGCCGCACACCCTCTGATGTTAGCGGTGAATTAACATTTATAAACAAAAATGGTTCATCGGTAATAGATTTAGCATTAGCCTCACTGGAGTGTCTTAATGTAGTTAATGACTTTCGTGTATTAGATTTTGTAGGCTCTGACCATTTTCCAATTGAACTAACTCTTTGTTTAAGGCGCAAAAACACTTTAACTAGCACGGTATGTATCCCTTTGTTGCCAAAGATTAGTTGGACAGAGGAAGACGGTAAATTTTACAAACTAAGGGTTGAAAGACACTTAGACACCCTAGGATCAGTAGAAAATGTGGAGCCATATGTTTTATTAGATTTAAGATAACAGCGTGTGTGAAGGCCGCGGCATTCCGGGGAAATCAGAGCTTTTCTAGTAATGCGCGATTTAAAAAGAAGAAACCGTGGTTTGACAGGGACTGCAATAAGAGTAGGAACAAGAGTTTAAAACTGCTAAAAATTTACCGTAGGTTAAACACGGAATTTTCAAAAAACGAATACTTGGAATCAAATAAGCAGTACAAAAAGTTGCTGCAAGTAAAACGATTAGACTATGAGAGAAATATGCTGCAAAAAATTAAGATGGCTAGTAATATGAGTGATTTTTGGAAAGCAGTAAAGCATTTAAAAACAAAAAATCATTTTGTGGGAGCATATATAAGTGTTGAGGATTGGGTCCGGCACTTTAAAATGTTACTTGATCCGCCGATGGAGACTACGACCTTTTTATTTGCCGAACCACTAATAGTTGATCAGTTTCTAGATAAAGACATTAGTTTCTCAGAAGTAAATCGAGCTATCCAGGCATCAAAAGTAAATAAAGCCGCTGGTTTCAACCACACACCGTATGAGTTTTTTAAATTTGGACCAATGAGGCTAACAGATATTTTAGTTCAATTATTTAACAAAATTTTACATACAGGAGAGGTTCCAGAAAGTTTTAAGAAGTCAATTGTCTATCCACTACATAAAAAAGGGGATATTGGAGAGGTGTCTAATTATCAAGGGATTTGTTTTATGGATGCAGTGGCTAAGTTGTTTATGGGTGTAATATTAAACCGGTTAGAATTGTGGGTTACAGATAAAAATATTTTGTGTGAGTACCAAGCAGGTTTTCGTAAAGGCTATTCTACAGTAGATAATGTTTTCTCTCTTTCTAATATGATTAATCTAAGGCTCTCAGTCAAAAAAGGCAAATTATAGCCTACTGTTTTTTTGTAGATTTTTCTGCCGCCTTTGACCGGATTGACAGAAACTCGTTGTTTTATAAACTTTCCTATACAATTGGAATTTCTTCAAAGATAATAAGATTATTAAAAAGTTGCTATAATGGTACGTCAGCAGGTGTATGGTGTAAAGAAGGTGTGTCAGAGTGATTTGAGACAACAAAAGGCCTGAGGCAGGGATGTTTAGGGAGTCCTTTGTTATTCTCATTGTTTTTAAATGACCTACATGATGTTCTAGGGGGTGGGTGCATCTTTGGAAACTTCAAAGTGAAAGTTCTGTTATACGCGGATGATATTGTTTTGGTGTCACCTTCAGCGGCGGGTTTACAATTAATGATAAATGATCTGCAAAAATATTATGAGGATTGGAATTTGGTAGTAAATCTTGACAAATCCAAGGTTATGGTGTTTAGGAATGGTGGCGACTTACGAGCAAACGAGCGGTGGCGTTATAAAGAAAATTTAATAGAGTGTGTAAACATTTACAAGTATCTTGGGGTGGTTTTCTCATCAAAGTTTTCTTTCCAAAAACACTTTGAACAAAAGCTAACGTCCTCAAAAAATGCAGTAACTTAAATTCGTTATGGTCAAAGGTTTTTAAAAATAAAGACATTTCAGTATTGTTAAAATTTGAGTGTTTTTACTCCGTAGTAAGATCAATAAATTTGAGTGTTTTTACTCCGTAGTAAGATCAATAATGTGTTATGCCGCACAAGTTTGGGGTTTTAATCTGTATAATGAAGTTGAAAAACTTTTACGTCAAAAAAATTTTTTGTTTACCTCAATGCACACCTAATTACATTAACTTATATAGGCTACTTAGAAACAGACCAAGACCCAATTTTCATTCATACGTTGAAACTTCACTTTGAATATGTTTTGAAAGTATTAAATATGCCCCAATCACGCTTACCAAAATTAATATGATGAGTTAATTAAAAATATGAGCCAGAACGTTAAGACTGAAGTTAACAAGCTAGATTCCAATCTTAATCACATGATCCACCTCTGAAAGCACTGGGAGTCGTGTGAGGGGACCCTCGTTTAGTCGTTGTGACACAGACCAGACCACCTCGACAGACGTCTCAGTCCTCAACTGTAGCCAGTTCTAAGCGAGCCGCTGCAAGCCCAGCTATGCTTGATAGGCTACTAAAAAGAAGAACAAAATCGACAAAAAAACTAGGAGAGTGGGTGACTATGTGAGATGGAAGGGCAGGCAGAAGAACCCTGAATCTGCAATCTGTGGATCGTCCTAGTGATTAGTGAAGAGGCAGCAAAGAAGTCCAAGAATAAGAGAGCCTTTAAGCAACAACCTGATGTTCATCAAGCTGACAAGCGGAAAGACCTAGGTACACTGAATGCCTAGGCCTAGGTTAAAATTAGGCCTATAGGCCTACATATTTTCAATGCGCTATTTCTTTGAAATAAATTAAAACAATCACGGGTAAACACAAGGTCCCTTGCATTATCAATTATAAAACTATCCTTGATATAGCTGGAGGGACAACGAAAAGTGTGAGTAATGAAGGTGAATAATATCTTGGAAGTAGGTCTGTATTTAGTGGTGATAATTAGAGATGTTTTTATCAAATGACATTAGCAAAATAACAATACTTAATTAACCACTGGAGGATGTAGACATTAGGCCTGAATAACCAATGCGTAAGACTACACATTTTTTAGTAGCCTAAATTCAATTTCAGGAGATACATACCCTAATCGCTCTTCGAGTCTGAAATCCTCAAGAAAATTTTCAACATCATTCACGTCTGAGTGTTTTCTCCAAGATTTCTTTTTACTTTTCGATATACTTTTTCTCTTACCAGATACTTTAACCATATTTAATGTTTGTGATTGTAGATACCAAACCAGATATACACTAAAAAAGTTATAATGGCTCAAATAAACCTAACCAACAAACCAAACTGAAACTACTATACTACATCTACATGTAGCCTACTACTACAGTCACAGTGCATGTGCGCAATAAATACCGATGGGTCTGAGTGGTCTGACCTGCGGTGGGGCACACGGGAGGGACTAAGGCTAACATATCTTGTAGTGTCAGCGTTTGCCGCTAGAACTGCTAAGTTGAAATAATTTAAATTATTATTATTTTGTTTTATTTTTTTTTTATAAAATTAACTTTTTCCTACAGTCACCCGACAAAGTTGGCTTCCCTGTACTGTTTATAGTACAGAAAGCTGCTAATTGCTGCATATTTATACTTTGCCGTACGGTTTATACTTTGCCGCACGGTTTATACTTTGCCGCACATCAGGATTCCAACCAAACAACACAAAACAGCGTGGTTTTATTATGCACGTACTCCGTGTACGCTTGGAAATAGGTTGGCAACACTTAAAGATAATAATACTATGAACAGCTGATTGACTATTATAACTACGATTTAACCTGTCATTTCGTGTTTATAGTTTTGGTATTTCTGAACTTTCTGGACTTTTCTTTTAAACGTTTTTAAAACATTCCTACGGTCTTAATAAACAAGAAAATACCTTTAAAGCATTTTTTTTAGGCGCGGAAACCACTTCAAATTACAAAAACATACGGAACTATATTCTCAAAAGACGGAGCACATTTCTTGCAGAGGAAAAATAGCGGAGTGATACGGACCACGGGTACTACTTTCTCCAGGGCACCATTTGTGTAATTGTGTTGCTAGCTGAACCTAAAAACGTGTTGTATAGTGTTTGAAAGACTAATTATTTATGTTTTATAGTGACTGTAGGAAAAATATAATGTGTAACACGAGTGAAAAAGGCCTTTGCTGCACTCGAGATCATTCCGCACTCGCCTGCGGCTCGTGCGTAAACATTGCTCTCGTGTGCAGCAAAGTGCCACTTTCACCACTAGTTACACAAATAACTATTTCATTATAAAATACTAGGTGAAACCCGTCGAAATCGACGGTTACTCTCAAGGCTTGCACTAATTCATCTACGGAAAGTTAGGTTAAGTGGAATATACTTTAAGTAGCTGCTTAAATATTATTTAATCTTTATGCCTTTTTTATAGCCGAAATGTCGTGTTATTTTCAATCATGTTAACAACCCAGTGGGCCGCGGTCCGTAATATAGGATACTGCAAATAATTTCTCAAGATAGGTACCATTTTAGGCAAGGTTTCTGTCTTTGGATGTTGAGCATGATAAGAGCACAATAAACTTCTTCTGCAGATAAATAATCTGCTGGAGAGATATAAGCCGAATTATAAATGTTACAATGCGAGTTCAAGCATTTTGTAACTATATGGGTAAATTATATGGTATTTTTTTGGCTGCTGCTCGGTGCACAAGAATATATATTTTAGAGATAAATTAAATGGTTTTGTTGCTGAGTAGCGCTAGTAAACATGTACAACCCATTTTGTTATTCTAATAACATTAAAAGGCTCTCTAGGAGTTCAAATTCTTATTTGTATACATATCTATATTATGTGTTCACTATGATGAATGAATACTTTATAGCAACCTCTCTGAAAATCCTGTAGTAAATTGCAGATTTACAGCTTAATGACTTTCTGAATCGTGCAAATATTTCTACATAAATATTGTAAAATGTTTTATCCAGTTGCTGTAAACTACTATTAGATTAACAAATTATGGACACGGCTCAAATGGACAACGTGCCCTTCTGCACTTGTATTATTTTGTATTGTATTACACATTCGACTATTTTTCCAATGATTGAAAACATGTATGACAATAATCTCATGAACCTATGATGATCTGTAGAATAACATGATAAAATATAGGCAAAAGTGGTGAAAAAGGCAGACAACAATCCGTACAACAGGTATTAGATAGTTCAATAAGAAATTATTGTAAGAGTTCTGTGATAAAAGGAATTTCCACTGATTTCGTATTAAAACGTTATATTGCAAAATATGACATGATACAGAAGAAAATCAATTTTAAAATCAGAAAATAACATTGCAAATACTTATTCTGGACAACTCCCAATAAATGTGTGTTGTTTAAAACACAATTTAAAAATTAACAGCTGTTTCATTAAAAATTATTATATGGCCAAAATGTAAACAAAGCTGTCGAGGGATCTTTAAAGACTTCTGGGGCAGAGCCCTAAGCGAATTTACTTAGTTTATCTTTTGATAACTCATCTAAAGACCAATTCTACCTTTCTTTGGACACCTCTATCAAGTTTCTACGCCCAGCCGTTCTCTCAAATTAGTGGAGACAAAGTTTCCAATTAAATATTTAGATTCCCCCATGTTAATCTTATGGGAGAAAACCCAACTTTGATGGAAGATCCTGCCCAAACTAATAAAGATATCAAAAAACGAAAAACACTTTGCAAAACTACAGATCAGGGCCATTGTTTTGACATTTTAATCATCAAAATCGGTCCAAAAATGTGGGAGGAGTTCTGTTTACAAAAATCGGCTTAGCGTATTATATATATAGATTGTTTCAAATTATAAAATAAATTTTTAATTTTTAAAATTAAACTGTCATAACATAACCTAACCAACCAGACTTGCTGATAGTATAAAAACTATATAAGATAAAAATCTAATTAATAATTACTTATAATTTTTAATTAATTATAAAATTAATTTTAAAATTTAGTATTATAAAATTAAACTGTCATAACCTAACCTAACCAACCAAACTTGCTGATATGAAAAATTTGTTGACAAAAAGTTAGTGCTGCCAGCGGGATTCGAACCCGGGACCTCCTGAACATCAATCCGAAACGCTATCAACCATGCCACGAACGCCGCTGAAATCTCATCGTTTCGTTACGGTAATCGTGTCGCCTCAAGAGAAGACATTAGCGACTAGAGATATGACGTCACTACACCTTTAGCCTTAGTCCCTTCCGTGTGCCCATTCCGTCTGACCTGACCATAAATAAAACCATATAAAACTATGGTCTGACTTAGGGGAGGTACGAATGAGGCATTAGTTCAAAATTCCTACATGGACAGCCAGTGGCGGATCTATGGGGGGGGCTAAGGGGGCTATAGCCCCCCCCTTCGGGTCTAAACTTACACTGTATAAAACGGAAAAATTCCTAGTTAAACCAACAATTTACCATGAGACTTGCAGGTGCTTGAAATATAAAGAAAATAATTTATGAGCGTGTTTAATCTAATTTCATGTAACGACAGTGCATTACAATTAATTAATCTACTGCTTGTTTTAAACTGGACAGACCTTTAAGACTGCAACAGAACAGCGCTTGTACGGTTCGAAACTTCTGGCCGTCTGTGCCCGAAATAAGCCGAAGGGAAGGGATGCGCCTCCAGCACACTTTCCTCCCCCGCCACCGGTTAAGTTGGACCGTTCCGCGCTATGACTATGAGTCATAGAATCATAGTTTTGGCACGTACGCTCGAAGATAGCCATTCCCATTGTCAGTGTCCACGCTCCAGTAGTGCCCGTCCAGTGTCCTAGTCTTACTTCCTACTGCCACGCAGTAGTTTGTTGTTGTGCGGGAGCGTTTTAAAGTGGCGTCAGTGTTCATGAGGGTTAAATTAATTTGACTAGTTTTGTATTTCTATTAGAAATGAAGCGTAGACTTACGGATTATTTCAGTAAGAAGGTAAATAGTACTGTTTCTGTTGCTGGTGAAGCAAGTTGCGAAGTGAATAAAAGCACAGTCAGTGATAATACTACAGTTAGTGATCAAAGTAATGAATTCTCCAAGAAGCATCGCCGTTTGGATGATGAGTCAAATAAAAGTGAGACTTTCAATAGAGGCGAGATGAGGATTTCTCATGATATGGTAAGTATAGGCTAACATTAAGCGGTAGTGTATGCTTTTTAGTAACGTCACGCTCGAGGTAAGGAGATGGAGTAGACACTCAGAGACTATTTTCTCAGCAAATACCGTCAAGTAAAAGGTTTTGCATTATTTTTAGAAATAGCCTATGTCTGATATATGAAAATTTAATAATTCTTACAGGACACGAATCGCTCAGAACTTGCGTTCATAAAAGGAAAATTTAATTCCCAGCCTCGGGCCGGGGCCTACCAACATAAACAATTCTTTAATACTTTCTTATTAAATGGTGACGATACAAAGTAGGTATTTTAAGCCAAGTATGAATGGAGATGAATTCATCGACGGGACGCGTTTAGATCTACTATTACATCGTTGTTTTACGTCTTGCATTAAGTTATAAAACCCAACTTATTATTTATTGATTTTAACAAAATGTTTTCGTAATTTCTGTTGTGTTTATATCCTCGTGATAAAAAAATAATTTACCTTAGAAATGTTTCTTTGGGATTTATACCTAGGCCTCCAAGTTCGTCCATTTTCCTGTTTAAAATTTGATTACACATAGATTACCTAACCTATGCCCCAATTTCACAAGGAACATTTTTTTATGGTGACTGTTGAAGTATCAGTTTTATTTGATGGCTTAAACTAGCGGGTAAGGTGTGGCCAATATGGGTATGTGACTCTACCATCATCGGTAACTAACAGTGGCCATAACAAAATGTATTTTATTTTAGGGTCCACCTGGTATATCAACCACTTGTGGTGGAACATATAAATCAAATGATATTGGTCTGGCTGTTGGGAAAATTCTAGATGACAACGAAAAGCTACAATTTTTGACTCAGACTTGGGTACCTCCAGTTAAATATAATTTTCCAACTAAAGTTGAAGGCAAGCAAACTCGAAAATTCAGAAGAGAATGGTTAGACCAACACGACTGGCTTGCATACAGTGAATGCTTACCTGGAGGATTTTGCAAAATTTGTGTTCTTTTTGCTCCTGCTGAAGCGGGAATAGGAAGTCAGGTAAGCCATGTCTCTATACTTGATAAAGTATTCTTTTCGTTAACATTTTTTAGTTTAAAAGTTTTGCAAGTGTTTCGAAATACAAGGCCGAAACGGGACATTTATTAAATTATTCGTATAAATAAAAAGCATTAACTTGGGCAATAATTTCATGTTTA